AGAAATATTTCTACAGTGTAGTCTAGACCATAAATCCTAAAAATATCTTGATTGTACTATCCAATATTGTCAACATGGAATAACAACCCCTCAAAAAAGACTACTGCAGCTTCTCAAAATCTGATCCAATCAATTACTCAAAGTTTCGTGGTTTTTTTTTTTTTTTTTTTGAGACAGAGTCACTCTGTTGCCCAGGCTGGAGTGCAGTGGCATGGTCTCGGCTCACTGCAACCTCTGCCTCCCAGGTTCAAGCAATTCTCCTGCCTCAGCCACCTGAGTAGCTGGGATTACAGGCATGTGCCACCATGCCCAGCTGATTTTTTGTATTTTTAGTAGAGACAGGGTTTCATCACATTAGCCAGGAGTGTCTTGAACTCCTAACCTTACGTGATCTGCACGTCTTGGCCTCCCAAAGTGCTTGGATTACAAGCGTGAGGCACAACACCGGGCTCAAAGTTTATGATATACTTACATCCTCAGTCGTCTTTAAGAATATTATTGCCTAGTGCTGGTCAGCCACGATGGCTCATGCCTACAATCCCAGCACTTTGGGAAGTCAAGGCAGGTGGATCATGAGGTCAGGAGTTCGAGACAAGCCTGGTCAATATGGTAAAACCCCATCTCTACTAAAAATACAAAAATTAGCCAGGCGTGGCGGTGCGTGCCTGTAGTCCCAGTTACTCGGGAGGCTGAGGCAGAAGAATAGCTTGAAACCAGGAGGCAGAGGTTGCAATGGGTTGAGATCACGCCACTGCACTCCAGCCTGGGCGACAAGAGTGAGACTCCATCTCAAAAAAAAAAAAAAATATATATATATATATAATTACCTAGTTCTTACCAGATATTATGCTAAGTGCTTCATATACATAATCTAATCTAATCCACATAACTCTTGCATTAAGAAAAGAAAATTGGCTGGGCATAGTGGTTCACAGCTGTAATCCCAGCACTTTGGGAGGCCAAGGCAGGTGGATCATGAGGTCAAGAGATTGAGACCATCCTGGTCAACATGTGAAACCCCGTCTCTACTAAAAATACAAAAAATAGCTGAGCATGGTGGTGCACACCTGTAGTCCCAGGTACTTGGGAGGCTGAGGCAGAATAAACCCTTAGAACCCAGGAGGCGGAGGTTGCAGTGAGCCAAGATTGTGCCATTGCACTCCAGCCTGGCGACAAAGCAAGACTCCATCTCAAAAAAAAAAAAAGAAAAAGAAAAAGATAAGAAAACTGATACAATGGTCTTAATGTAACCAGTGATAACATACGCCACTGATAATTATTTTAGCACATCTTAAAATGAGGCTTTCTATCAAATTTGTTTTCCTAAGTATGAATCTATCATTTGAATTTATGTTTTCTTTGACCATAAACTTATTTCACTCTCTACTTGCCTTATATTCTTCTATTTTGTCTTCATCTGTCTCTCCTTCATCCAGATACTTACGTTTCGTATTTGGAGCAGAGGTATCATAGGAAGCCCTGAAAAATAAACAGAAATATTACTCACAAACATATACAAGATGCATAAAAGTATCTATTAATAATAATAATAAACAGATTATAAAAAAGAACAAGACAAAGTTTTCCTAATTAAAGAGTATCTATTTACCCAGTTTATAAGTCATCCAAAAAGTCAAATAATTTGATTGATAATTCTGTGCTTCATTTTCATGAGAAAGCAACCAAATGAGAAAATAAGCTGCTATAAGTGATATATTGAAAAGAAACTTATATAGTATGTATTATTTTAATCTGTTTTGAGCAAAACAGATGTCCAAATTGAAAACTAGAATAACGAAAAAATTTTGAAATGCTTTCTGAACTACCAAATAAATACCACTTTTAGGGTAAAGTATATTTCCTTTTATAAAAATTTCTACGCTGGGCATGGTGGCTCATGCCTGCAATCCCAGCCTTTGGGAGGCCGAGACAGGCGGATCACAAAGTCAAGAGATCGAGACCAGCCTAGCCAACATGATGAAATCCCATGTTTACTAAAAATACAAAAATTAGCTGGAAGTGGTGGCGCGCACCTGTAGTCCCAGCTACTTGGGAGGCTGCGGCAAGAGAATCACTTCAACCCTGGAGGCAGAGGTTGCAGTAAGCCAAGATCGCATCACTGCACTCAAGCCTGGTGACAGAGAGAGACTACATCTCCAAAAAAAAAAAAAAAAAAACTTTTAAATATACTTATTTATTTATAGTATATATGCTAATTTTTAGTCTAACATTCCATTTTCTAAGTACTTTACAAATGGGAACTTACTATCCTCAGAAAATAAATATTTCATAATTAATGAACTGACAATAAAAACCATTGTGTCTAAAATCATTATTTTGATGCTTTTCTCAATACACTGCACACCTACCTAGGGGTATCTCTTTATTAAAACAGTAATCCTTTCACAGTTTTTTTTTCTTTTTGAGACGGAGTCTCACTCTTGTCTCCCAGGCTGGAGTGCAGTGGCACAATCTTGGTTTAGCTCACTATAGCCTCCGCCTGCTGGTTTCAAGCAATTCTCCTGCCTCAACCTCCCGAGTAGCTGGGATTACAGGCGCCCGCCACCACGTTTGGCTAATTTTTGTATTTTTAGTAGAGATGGGGTTTCACCATGTTAACCAGACTGGCCTTGAACTCCTGACTTCCTGGGCTCAAATGATCCACCTGCCTTGGCACAGTGGCTCACACCTATAATCTCAGCACGTTGGGAGGCCAAGGCAGGAGTACCACTTGAGCTCAGGAAGTCAAGGCTGCAGAGAGCCATGATCACGCTACTGCACTCCATACTATCCAGCCTAGGTAACAGAGTGAAACCCTGTCTCACAAAAAAAAAAAAAAAAAGAATTATTTGACTGACCTGCAAGTCTCTCTTGTTTCGGCAATTTCTCTCTGCTCATCTTTGCTATTTAACACGGCACCAATGCTGTCGGCACTTTCAGCTCCCAGCTGAGAAAAGGCAAAATCAGAAATTAGATTACAACACATTGGACAGCCTTTCTAGACATTTGTAGCAGCATGTAATATATTAAATACTTAAACAAAAACACCTTAATTCACATACACACAATAACAATGATAATCAGCCTGCAAGACAAACTGGAAAAACCCTGGAAAAAAATTGCATTAATTAAGAATGAGTTTGACAGCTGGCAAACATTTTATGCTTTCAGCTATACAGATGCTCCTTGATTTATGAGGTTATGTCCTAATAAACCCATTGTAAGCTGAAAGTAAATCTGTTTCAAAATAAACGTGGTAAGTGCGTTTTCAACTTATAGTATTTTCCACTTATGATGGGCTTATCAGGACATAATTCCATCATAAGTCATTGAGCAGCCTGGATGCCTATCACTTTCAAACCATCATAAAGTTGATTGTTAAGTCAAATCATAGTAAGTCTGGAACCATCTGTATATGAAAATAAGACACTTTAGCCAAATTCCTGTAAAGTAATATACACGAATTAATATAGATTGAGCATTCCAAATCCGAAAATCGAAAATCCAAAATGCTCCAGAATCTGGAACTTTTTGAGTACTGACATGACATTCAAAGCAAATGGTCACTGAAGCATTCATATTTTGAAAACTTTTGATATTTGGCATGTTCAACCAGTAATATGCAAATATTCCAAATCCTGAAAAAAGTCTGAAATCCAAAACACTTCTGGCCCAAGCATTTCAGATTAAGAGATATTCAACCTGCAGTAGCAATAACCAAAAAAAGCAGGTAAGACAGTGTTTGCACAGGGTTGTGGGTACCATATTAAACATTTTGTAGGCATCAGCTTATATAATGTAACTTATTTATGCTATGCTCTAATAAAAATTGATCCAGTTTTACTCAAGCTAAGTCTTACTATTTATGGACACAATGCTGAACTTCACTACCTTAAAACGGCAACATAAATTTTGTTTGGCAGTTGGGAAAATTTTGCAAAATACAAACCAATGCAAACAAATAATGCTTATAAGGCTAAGTAGAGTGCAACCAATTCATAAAAAACTTTAAAAGCTGGAGCCCCTGGTAAAATTTGTTTTACACTCAACAAATAATTGTCCTATGAATGTATCTTGAGTGAAATAGAAATCTGAATTCCGTATTAAGGAGTAAAACATCTGTGGTAGCAACAAAGAGCTACTGAACATTTTTGAAGATAATACGATAAAAGAAGTTAGGAAAAAGAAGACTTAGAAAGGATACTTGATTTGTCCAAGATCGTAATGCCAGCGGGATAAGGAACAAATCTGATTCCAAGTTCCCACAGTTTCAGCAGTATACCACAAATGTGTTCATCAGATTTCAGAAGTCCATTTACTAAAACCAAGTTTACTGAAAAATAACAGCAAGATGACTATGAGCATTTCTCCTACCACTTTTACTGATATGAATAGAATTGAAAATACAGCCTCGATTTTAAGTAGAACTGTGCACAAGCTGTATTTTCTGCAAGTGTACCCTACTAATCAGCAAATGTTAACTTACTCATGCACAAGAAAGAAGTGAAGGACAATGGTTTAGAAGATAAGCTTTGGGGAGACAACCTAGGTTCTATTTCCCAGCCGAGAAGTGAGCGACCAGGAGTAAAATTCCTTAACCTATGGAGCCTATTTCATTACTTGATAAGTGAAGGTAATACTACCTGTTTCAGGAGATTATTGTGACTAACACAGAGTAAGATTTCAAATATTAACTGTGGATGTGGCAAGGATATTGTACATAAGACGCAGAATATAAAATTTACACTCAGACTACTTCCAGTGTAGTCTTCAGAAAGATGTCAAAGAAAATACTGTAAACTGTAAAAATATTTCATAATGAAACCACAATTTCAAGAATTTGGGACTGACGACGAGGAAAAGTAAGAAACAGATGACCAGTTAAATAGTGAAGAGAAATGTAGGGGATAACAAGACACTCATCCTGGCGTGAACATGCCAGACACTCGGTGGGCGTTCCACAAAGGTTAAAGGCTAATCGTGGCATTCGGTTTAGCACCACAAAGACCGCGGAAGGAACTTGAAAAACATTCGGGGCACCACGAAAATTGAGAACTACAAAGGGAGAACCAGGGATCAGGATCGAAGGACCAGAAAGGCCTTAACAGTGGCAGGTAGAGAGGGGACAGAAAAAGGCGGGGTGTGGAGGGAGGAGGCGGCCGCGCACTCGCATTCTCGATCCCTCCCACAGGGGCCACCAGGGCCGCGGACCTGCTGCGCGAGGAGCTGTCGCCGTAACTTCTGCCGCTCCCGGATCTCCTGCAAGCGGCTATCCATGTTCCAACTCCTGCTTTTCACTACCCCGAGTACTTGTCAATCGCCAGTGAACCCTTGTCCAACCTTTCTTCCGAGTCTGTGGAACACTATATTCACCGTAAGCTTATGAACAGAGTATCCTTAGAGCTTTCCTCAGTAGGGACTTCCGGCGCGGCCGATATGGCTTGCTTGGCCCGGAAGTCCCGCCTCCTTCTGGACGCTTGCGATGTGACGCCATTTGGAAGGGACCCAGTAAGGGATCTGTTGCGTTACAGGGGTCTCCAGGGCCGTCGCGGGCTGGGGTGGTCTGAGCTAGTCTGAAGGAGTAGTCAGCTGACTTCTCCTTTATCTCTCTTCCCCAGGATAGCAGGTTCCGTTGGTGTATCACAGTTTCTGAAGTATTGATTCCCTTTTCAGTTGATTCCACAGATGACAGTCCTAACGTTTAAAAAAATTGCCAGATACCTTTAATTATTATTATTATTTTTTAACAGAACAGGAACTTAAGCCAGATTGCCTAGCATTGAACCTTGGCCTCTCACTTCTTAGTCAAGTGGCCTTGGCTAGTTAAACACCTTCGTGAGCCTCAATTTTTCTCATTCGTAAAATGGGAGTCATAAGTGTCTACCTCACAGAGCTGTGATTGAAAGCATAAACAGCACCTGGCACATAGCGCTGTAGAAGTGCTTATTATTGTTAATATTTTATTTACCTTCACGCAGGTAACAGCCACAACATCTGCCCATTCTTCCCGACACATTACTGTCCCTTGAAATGGTTCCTATTTTACTATAGTAGGCATTTTATGGCTTCTTTCCTTTAGAGAAATGAGTGTGTGATAGTAAAGTGTGTCTTGGTTTATGCCCTAGGAGTCAGAAGCTAAGGCACTCCTTTTTGTGCTTGTACATTTGTCTTAACTGAAAATAACCTAAGGATAAGGAAACAAATAGCTTCCTGAAATTACTCGGATTGCTGGGGTGAGGGGTGAGGGCTGGGGGATGGTGATTCTGTCGTCATAGGAAGGCAGCAAAAGCCAAAGTCGTATTTGAGTTATTACCATTATTATTCATCACATTTGCCATCTTATTTCAAACTTACAAAGGCAGAAGTGGACTAAGACATCATGTTGCCTCAAGTTTAATTGGAAATCGTGGTAAGTACTTACTAAAATTAGTAACAAGTCTGTTCTTTGAGAGTGGATTTAATTTTCAGAAATAATATTAAGTCATCCAGATCAAAACCAGTTGAGTCAGGCTGGGCCAAAAGTGGGCAAGACTAGATTCTACTAGTCATGCCCACTTTTATAGAAATAATTATAATGTATTTCTCAAGAACTAGGTCTGAAAGACAATTTTGAACAAGTAGTCCTAAACAATTCCTTGAGTAATGTCAGCACTATTTGGATACTGTAAAACATTTATGTCCATATGCGTTAATTTCTTTAAAAATCGGTTGTATTACCTGGCAATCATTTAAGTTGAATACTGATTTAAATTTTACCAATGGTAAGAATAGGCATTTATTCACTTAAATATCTGTTGATATTGATTGAGCATTTTATATGGCAAGCACTGTGATAGGCCCTAGAGTCTATAAAGTCCATCAAAGATTAAAAACCAAAGAAGTCAGTTTTTCTTTATGGAGTTTACTATCTAATGGAGGATTTTTTTTTTTTTTTTTTCCTGAAAAGGTGCTACGCAGGTTACTTGCCTGTAATCTTTGAACCCCATACTCACCTACCCTCTGCTTCGAGATGATGGCTAGGCAGGGAGTCCAGAAACTACATTTCCCAGCCTTCCTTGTTAGATGGTTTCCTGTGAGACTCTGCCCACAGGAGGCACAGGCAGGAAATCAAACGGCTCCTCCAAACATTCACATTACCCCTTCGTGTCTCTGCCCTCTGAGGAACTAGCCAGCTCTAGCTCTTTGGATTTTCCAAATGAGAGGTCAACACATCGATCTCCCCAAGACCTTAAGTTCTTCTAGTGGTCTCTTTAAGCTTCCTCTCTTGAATTAGGGTGAAAAGGGACTTCCTTGAGGAGAGGGGTGGTATCGCAGCCCAACAATAATTTGCAAAAATTTTCTCCTCCAGCCTCTAATTCTCAACCAGTGTAGACTTTCAAAGTGGGTAATGTAATTTAAAGCCTTATAGCCAGTTATGCTCTACTTCTTCTACAAGTCCTACAACCAGGTGGTCTCAATCCTCACTTGCAAAAATTGCATTTACTCACCTCATGCCCTAGCTAAAACTTCCACAACAAATTCTATGGTGCATTTAAGTGAAAGGTGTTATTTTATAGATAGATAGATAGATAGATAGATAGATAGATAGATAGAGATATATATTAGAACTATGTCAAATGGTTAACTTTTTTAAAAAGGAAAATTTTTTGTTTTGATATAATTATAGATTCTCATACGTACACTTGTAAGAAATAACACAGAAAGATCCCATGTAGCCTTTATCCAGTTTCCCCAGTGACAACATCTTGCAAAACTGTAGTCCAATATCATAACCAAGATGCTGACATTGATACATCACTTCCATCACCACAAGTGTTCCTCATGTTGCCCTTTTATAGCCACAGTCATTTCCCTCCTGCTGCCACCCTCTCCTTTACCCATAACAACCACTTATCTGTTCTCCTTTTTGTAATTTTGTCATTTCAAAAATACTATAGAAATGGAATAATACAGTATGTAATCTTTAGGGCTTATCTTTTTACACTTGGCATGATTCTCTGGAGATTCATCCAAGTTGTTGCATGTATCACTAGTTCATTCCTTTTTCACTACTGAGCTGTATTCCATTGTATGTATGTACCATAGTTTGTTTAACTATTTGCTCAATAAAGCACATATATTAATAGTTTGTTTCCAGTTTTTGCTGTTATGAATAAAGCTACTATAAACATTCATGTACCGGTTTTTGTATTAATGCAAGTCTTCATTTCTTTGGAATAGATGACTGAAGTTCAATTACTGGGTTACATGGTAGTTGCATATTTCTTTTTTAAAGAAACTGCCAAACCGTTTTTCAGAGCATCTGTATCATTTTATATTCTCACCAGCAACATATCAATGACCTAGTTTTTCTACATCCTTTCCAGCCTTAATTGTCTTTATTTTTTTATTTTACTTTGTTTGTTTGCTTGCTTGTTTGTTTTGACACAGGGTCTTTCTTTGTTGCCCAGGCTGGAATTCAGTAGCATAATCAAGGTTCACTGAAGCCTGACCTCCCGGCTCAAGTAAACTGCCCACTTCAGTGCTGGAAGTAGGGTGGGGCACCAGCCATCAGTAGCAGGACTATAGGCATCTGCCACCATGCCTGGCTGATTTTTCTTTTTCTTTTTCTTTTTCTTTTTTTTCTTTTTGCAGAGATGGGTTTTTACTGTGTTGGAGAAGCTAGTCTCAAACTCCTGGGCTCAAGTCATCCTGCCGCCTCAGCCTCCCAAAGTCCTTAGATTACAGGCGTGTGCCTGGCCTATTTTACTCATTTTAATAGAGGTAAGTTTGTTTCAATTTAGGATTTTTAAGAAAGAGAGCACACTTTCAATGATTAGGAGAGACACAAGATGGAAATAAAGATTATATTACTTACAGGTTGAGGGCGCATGATACTCCTGGCGGCCATACACAGAGGTCAGGGAGAGGAAGGGACCTGTGGGCCAGTACCCTTATTAGGTCCAGAGAGTTATCGAAATAGGTTTCTAGCAGGGAGCTTAATTGGTGGATTTAAAGCAAGCAGGGGGTCATGCTGTGAATGAGAGGTAGTCACTGTGGCATGTCTGCATAGTTCGTTCCATGTGTGAGGATCAGCAAGGCCAGTCAAGCAGCCTGCATCTAGCCACCACCTAGGGAAGTGGTCACCAGAGAGCAGTTGTATAAGACAGATACCTGGATCCACTGCATTGAGAAACTGGGGGAAGGGAGCATCAAACTGAAAACTGTGTCCAAGGTGACGGAGTCCTGCCTCTGGTGTGAGAAAGCCCAGCTTATATTTAAAGTGGATGTCAAAGCAATATAAAATTGTAGGAATTCATTACCAAACTGATAGCTTGTGGTTTTAATTTGCATTTCCCCATTGAATAATGATATTGAGCATCATTTCATGTGTTTATTTGCCATCTGTGTTACTGTGTGCATGAAATATATCTTTGTGTCTTTTATCCACGTTCTTATTGGATTTTCTCATACTGTTGAGTTTTGACATTTTTTTTATATATTCCATGTACTAGTCCTTTGTTGGATATGTGGTTTTCAAGTATTTTCTCCCACTCTGTAGCTTGCCTTTTTGTCCTCTTAACAGAGTCTTTCACAGAATGAGTTTTTTTTTTTTTGAAACAGAGTCTCACGCTGTCACCCAAGTTAGAGTGCAGTGGTGTGATCTTGGCTCCCTGCAACCTCTGCTTCCCGGGTTCAAGTGATTCTCCTGCTTCAGCCTCCCGAGTAGCTGGGATTACAGGCACCCACCACCACGCCTGGCTAATTTTTGTATTTTTAGTAGAGACAGGGTTTCACCATGTTGGCCAGGCTAGTCTCAAACTCCTGACCTCAGGAGATCTGCCCATCTCGGCCTCCTGAAGTGCTGGGATTACACGGAGGAGCCACCGCGCCCAGCCTCACAGAATGAGTTTTAATTTTGATGAAGTTTAGGTTTTACTTTTTGGATCATGCATTTGGTATGACATAATAGTTAACATTTTATGTGTGGAAATATGTACATTCTCTCATTCCCTCTCCTCCCATGTCCAATCCATTGGCAGGTCCTGTCAGTACCATCTCCAAAATATAACCTAAATGTGTGTACCTTTCTCCATTTTTTAATAAATTTTTTATTATACTTTAAGTTCTAGGGTACATGTGTACAACATGCAGGTTTGTTACCTATGTATACATGTGCCATGTTGGTGTGCTGCACCCATTAACTCATCATTTACATTAGTTATATCTCCTAATGCTCTCCCTCCCCGCTCCTCCCACCCCACAAAAGGCCCTGGTGTGTGATGTTCCCCTTCCTGTGTCCAAGTGTTCTCATTGTTCAACTCCCACCTATGAGTGAGAACATGCGGTGTTTGGTTTTCTGTTCTTGCGATGGTTTGCTGAGAATGATGGTTTCCAGCTGTATCCATGTCCCTACAAAGGACATGAACTCATCCTTTTTTATGACTGCATAGTATTCCATGGTGTATATGTGTCATATTTTCTTAATCCAGTCTGTCATTGATGGACATTTGGGTTGATTCCAAGTCTTTGCTATTGTGAATAGTGCCACAATAAACATACATGTGCATGTGTCTTTATAGCAGCGTGATTCATAATCCTTCGAGTATATGCCCAGTAATGGGATGGCTGGGTCAAATGGTATTTCTGGTTCTAGATCCTTGAGGAATTCCCACACTGTCTTCCACAATGGTTGAACTAGTTTACAGTCCCACCAACAGTGTAAAAGTGTTCCTATTTTTCCACATCCTCTCCAGCACCTGTTGTTTCCTGACTTTTTAATGATTGCCATTCTAACCAAGCTTCAAACCACCATCATCTCTCACTCAGTTGGTCTACAAGGTTCTTGTAGACTTGTAAGCCCCATCTGGACTTACCCTGGTGCACTAACTCCCACCTCCCTCCATCTCACTGTGGTGCACTAAACTACAGCTACACTCCTTTCTGTTTGTTTGTATTCTCACCCAACTCAAACACAACCGGCTCCCTCTCACTTCCAGTCCTTGCCTATGCAGGCCCCTCCCCAATATTTGCAGGACTAGCTCTCCTCATTCAGGACTCAGTTCAAATGTCAAATGTCAAGAAGCCTTCACTCTTCACCATATGTAAAGTAGCTTATCTTTCTCTTATCACTTTTGTATTATGATTCTTTTATTTTTATATAGCAGTTTATTAGCTGAAGTTATTTGTTTACTCTGCATACCCCTACTCAAATGTAAGCTATCAGAGCAGTGACCTTGCCTGTCATGTTCAGCCCTACATCTCAAACTCCCAGCACATGGCAGTCACTCAGTTAATATTTATTAAATATGGAACACTTCTTTCTTTCTCAAAAAGCAAATTTCCTTTTGAATATTCAGCTACTGGTAGATTAAACATGTCCTCAAAATAAACTATTTGTAATCACACTAATTAATTAGAGGAAAAAGTGTAAGAGAATTCTAGTTTCTGGATAAATTCAACCCCTGCTACTAAGTCACGTCCTTTACTCATGTTACCTGAGTTACACAAATATAATGTAGAGTAAAATATATCTCAAGTATATCTTGATTCTAACTGCAAGAGAGGATACCATTATTGTGTAGTCACAAACTGCAAAAACTATGTAAATTTGTGTCCTCAGCTTCAGCAGTAATTCTGTGACTTACCCTAGGCAAGCCTGAACAGGTCTCTACAGCTTAGTTTCTTGTTTTGTTAAAGGGATTTAATACAAGCTTACCTCACCAAGATGCTATGTAAAACAGTTTCTATTTATTCCAAGTACTGTATGATTTTTGTGTCTATTGGTGTGGAACAACACACTCATTACATGATGGCATCAAAAGATTTTGTGCCACGAAGGATGCCAAATTCTTGGAGCTACTGGAGGGATTATAGTGCATATGTCTAATTAATTTTGGAGATTGTGCTGCAGTTACATCTAAAGACCAATTTGGAGTTTAGGCTGAAGAATTATCTCAAATCATTTTAAATTGTGTTTTTAGAATATGACACTTAAATATCTCAGGATAGCCTCAAACCTTTAGTAGAAAATCAGGGAAATATGCCTTACAAGCTTATAAAGTTATAAAGTTTATGTGTTTTATGTATTATATAAATAGAGCATTGCAGACACATTCCTTATTTTGAAATGAAAAAACTTTCTGATATTAGCATTCATTTACTTAAGACCCTGTGGAACTCAACAAAACAATAGAGCTGAGAAAGGATTGCTAACTTATCTAAGACACAGTTCTGATTCTGAATGGATATTATCCATCTTTCTCAAAGAAACTGGGACTTGCAATAAATATAGTTTGATAGGATGCATTATGTAGAGTTTTTTCAAAGATTTTAAAATGTCCAAAGAACCTTGTAATTTCTTTACTATAAGTAGCCATAATGCTGCAAAATAATTCAGCAAAATCAATCGTTTAATTTATAAAATTAAAATGTTTGTTTACAAATATAAAATAGGCTTTTAAAATTCTGAAGTCATCAAAATGAATTAGCTTTCTGACTTAAATCAAGTCATCTAACCACACTGTATCAGAGATTCCTCAATTGCAATTCAAAGGAAATGAAATAATTCAGTAATTCTCAAACATTTGGGTCAAGGACAACTTTACCCTCTTGAAAACTGAGGACCTCAAAGAGCTTAATTTATGTTTATGTGGATTATAGCAATCATTATTTACCATATTAGAAATTAAAATGATTATTAAGATAAAAACTGAGATACTTTTGTGTTAATTCATTTAAAAATAAATATTCTATTACATGTTAGCATAAGCAGTATATTTTATAAAAAACTATATTTTCCAAAGGTAGAACTTTTTTTTTTTTTAAGAAGAGTGACATTGTTTTACATTTTTTCAAACCTATTTAATGTCTAGCTTAATAAAAGGTGGCTGGATTCATATATCTTTTTCTGCATTCATTCTGCTGTGCATTTATTGATTTTTTTTGCATTTTCATTTTGCATTTATTTATGTTGTTTTGCATTTTGCATTTATTCGTGTTGTTTTGGTAGAAGTATATGAAGAAAATTTGGTCTCAAACAGAATATATATTTGGAAAGGGATTTATACCTTTAAAACTTTAATATTCATTTCAGATAATTGTTTGTTGCTAATATGCTTATATCATCAAAAGGAAGATGGGCAAAAGGGTAGTTAATAGCATCTTGGGCTGCTGCTTTTAGAATAAGAGGTCTTACTCAGCTCAGTAATGCTTGTCTAGGGAGTGCCTGGTTTCTTTTTTCTTTCTTTTCTTTTTTTTTCTTTTTTTTTTTTTTTGTTGTTGTTAAGGTGGAGTTTTGCTCTTATTGCCCAGGCTAGAGTGCAGTGGCGCAATCTTGGCTCCTGCAACCTCTGCCTCCCAAGTCTGAGCAATTCTTCTGCCTCAGCCTACCGAGTAGCTGGAATTACAGGCATGTGCCACCACGCCCAGTTAATTTTGTATTTTTAGTAGAGACGGGTTTTTACCATGTTGGTCAGACTGGTCTCAAACTTCTGATGTCAGGTGATCCACCTGACTCGGCTTCCCAAAGTGCTAGGATTACAGGCGTGAGACACTGCGCCCGGCCCCTGGTTTCTTTTTAATACTACATGGAAATTTCACATGTAGTAATGTCTTAAAGCCTAGTTGCTTTGTGAAATCTGAAACATAGCAATAAATTTTTTATATTAAGATTGAAAAAAATATCCATATCAAAGGATAATATGTTGGGAATGGCTTGAAGAGACTAATAGAGATTATGCCATCCTTCAGTATACCACTGCTGAGTGATAGGAGGTAGTGGACAGAACTATGGGAAGAAACCAACAAGTCAATTAAAGTTAATGATTTTAACCCACCCCTCTTAAATACTGAAGGAACAAGCCTACCAGAAAATATAATCAAAACTATATAACATTATCTCATTAATAAACTAAAATTCATAAAGGAAGATATAGAATCTTAACAGAGAATACATATTTTTTAAAACACATATGGAACATCCACAAAAATCACCATGAATGAAGTCATAAAGAAAACTTCATATATTTCAAAGAATTCATATAATGGAGATTATGTTCTTTCATCATTATATGATTTAATTAAGAATAAACACTAAAGCCAGGCACGGTGGCTCATGCCTGTAATCCCAGGACTTTGGGAGGCCGAGGAGAGTGGATCACTTGAGGTCAGGAGTTTGAGACCAGCCTGGCCAACATGGTGAAACCTCGTTTCTACTAAAAATACAAAAATTAGCCGGGCGTGGTGTTGCATGCCTGTAATACCAGCTACTCAGGAGGTTGAGGTAGGAGAATCGCTTGAACCCAGGAGGCAGAGGTTGCAGAGAG